GAGCACCTGACCCTCCTAGGTCGCAAAGACCTAAATTCCGATCAGGAGAGAGAGCGACGTGGAGCGGTTGATTGTACACACGTTCTATGCTAGTAACAATAAGAACTATTAGGATGAGAAATTCAAGTTATATGTGTACTTCTTAAATATGTCGCACAACGGCATAAAAAGAACCAGGGGTAAGTTACTTTTATGTACGGTTATTGGTCACTGCATATCACTATTTATTTACTACATATATATAGATGCGTCACACATAAAGGTACACTCGAATAAGATTTTTAGAGTCCTTATTAAGAGTAGAAACATTTTTAAAGCACCTGTATAAGAATTTGGTTAACATAACAACTACACGTAGATGGCCAGTTTTTATTTGTCAACTAGTCTTTTGGGAATGCGGCCATTTTTCTAGATCAAGGTGAACTGTATAGTCAAAGAAACTTCGGAATAAAGCATTTTCATTATTGTTTATTGGTTGGTGTAAGATTGAATTTTCACAACAAATTTTCTATTTAATTCTTCAAATGCACGGGCCCCAAATCTATCCACCTAAAGCGCTTCCTCTATCAACCTTCATTTTTTTTAAGTGAAAATTATCATGTCCAAGACGCTGTGGCTGTTGGGTAAAATGTTCATGTGACGTATTTCACTATTTAATAACTTGTGGAGACTATATCTTTATGTACATAAATTATTATTGTTTTCTAAATTTCCATGTAGTTTATGCACATAGCTAATCCCATTCTCGTTGACCGAAGGGTCATAAACATGTAATAATCCTTTTACATGAGTAAAGGTTACATGCTGCAACTTGTTTTTAAGTTTCAAGCTAACGTGTTCACGTTTCTGTATGGGCTTCTAGAAAGTACACATATTCAGAGGATACAGAAGCCTGCATAAACTGGCTTCGAATGGTTAGAATCATGTACAGAATAGTGGCTGACGTACGTAACCCAAAGGATTATGAGATAACACACAGTTCTCTCTCTTGATTTTGACAACTGACGCTTGCTTATGTTCTAGATTCTTCTCCTGATTTCGTCCAAGCCTCTTCACCACTATGAACAAAGTTTGTTTTTATTTGTTCACTTTTTATTTGCCTTTTTCCCTTTACATTCCATGTTCAATATATATTCTTACTTTGAAAGTCCTTAACTTATGTTTTGTGGATACTTTGGCTACCTAGTGGATGTCAGTTTACCAGAATACTATACAGGTACAAGTAGTTCGTTTCTGTTGTTTATATATTATGTCTGGATGGTGTTTACTGATTTGTACTCTCAATATTTGTTTTATTTCTATATCATACCGCAAACCCCAACCATAAAACAATATTTTGTTTATATTTGACATCTTTTCTCTGTACTTATGAACGT